CCGTCCCCAGCCACACCTAGCGCAGGTTCCTCCTCATCCGGTGAAATGAGAGGGAATGAGTCGCCCTTGAGGTCGGGATGAAGACCCACTTGTTGGGGGACTTATCTCGGGGTTCACCCCGACGCCCCGCGCCCCGAGGTGGCCTTGAGTGTTTTGTTTGTGATCCCTCGGTGCCGGCCCGGTGTCCTGTGTCTTACTTGTCCTGAAAGGCCTGCACCTATGACTCAAGAGCCGAGGTCCTAGACATCAGATTGAACTCGGGATGTGCCTTTTCCTAGGTCACTTGACTGGTCGGACTACATTAACGATGTGGGGACCAAGACTCCCCGTCCTGGCAGGGCAGGATGTTTGCAGCATCGTGTAAAAACCTCCAGACCCGTGACTTTGTAGTACTGGGGCTTGATTCAGAGGAGATGTATTTCATGACCCGGTTTCCCTAGTCATCGTTAGTCCCCTGTAAGACTGAAAACAGTTCAAAAGTGGGAAACTGCATAGATAGGCCTGATATAGAGACGTGCCTAGAGCGTCTGGAGTTTCTCATTTCAAATGGATCCTTTAAAAAAAAATGGTTAGAACACTGTCTCCATCTGTAACTATTGATGATCTACTTGTCGAAGAGCAAAGGCTCTTAAATCCATGCTAAAGTAGGCGTAATTTCTACGGGAAAAAAAACTGGATAGGCAATGTAATGCTTTTTAATTTTGGAAATGATCATTTCTTATACATCAGAAGCTCTTTTTCAAAGTAAAGTTTAAACAATGAGTTTATGGGGGTCATTTTCTAAAGATTGTTTTATCTGAATTCTGAGCAGCGGAGGTATAGTAGTGCTCATTTTCTTTTTTTTGGGGGGGGGGTCGGGTCGTGGGGCCTGAACTCTGGGCTTGGGCGCTGTCCCTCAGCTCTTCAGCTAAAGGCCAGCACTCCACCTCTTGAGCCACAACGCCACTTCCGGCTTTTTTCTCTTTGCTTATGTGGTGCTGAGGAATTGAACCCAGGGCCTCAGGCATGCAAGGCAAGCGCTCTACCACTGAGCCACATTCCCAGCCCCTAGTGCTCATTTTCTTAAGTTTCTGTGATTAAGAGAGAAGACATCTAGTTGCTTGCAAATTCTTTAAAGAAAAAAATCAAGATGTACAGCTATTAATTGCTTCATAAAGTATAATGTTAAACTATGATTGCTGACATGCACCTTGCACCCTCTGGATTATACAATTAAGAAGTCTTAACCTTTAATCCATGCATAAAGGAATTTTAAAAATATGTACATCATCTGCTCCATAAAAATGTATGAGATACTTATGAAACAAAATGAAAAACATATACAACAGGCCTAAGTATTTGATATAGCCAAGCACATGTATTTAATAGAGCTTTGTATGAAGAGTATAACCATAAAATGTACAATGTGGCTGTGTTTCCATCAACATCCTGGATCCAAAATTCTAATTCTGATTCAAGTATTAACAAGCAATATAACCCTAACTAGAATACTGTTACCAAGCACCCACACCAAGAACTAATTGCGAAGGCATATAATCCTATTAGGAACTACTGTTGCAGTTAGGATTACATAGCAGATATTCAGATGTATGTTTAATGAAGTTTAACTTCTCAAACTGCTTGGTATCTCAGTTACTTCTTTGACCAACCTGGAATAATAACTTCCATTCTCCAGTCACAAAGTGTTTATGAGGACTAATGAAACAAAGTGAGATAACATGTTGATATTCATAAGCTTAGTACAATTTTTTAAGTGATCTCATCCTAAAAACAAATAAAACACATAGTACTTACCTCAAATCATTGAGAATTACTGTCCAAGCTACCTGGATATAAACTGGAGACCCTATCTGAAAAACAACTAAAGCAAAAAGGCTGCGTGGGGTGTGGCTAGGCACTGCCTTCCAAGTGCAAAGAGCTAAAGTTAAGCTTTAGTACTGCCCTCCCCCCACCAAAAAAAAAAAAAAACATTTAAAAACATAAAATGAAAGGAAATTTTTTAAATCCCCTTTTGCCTTTAAAATTCCACTTTCTAGAAATAGCCACTAAATATATATTAATCTGGCAATTCTCAATCTATCAGGCACTAAGATTAATGTAGATTATTGAACAGATTCTAGGCTTTGTCACTAGAGAGAATCATTCAGTAGATCTAATTTGAAGTCTAGGAATACATACTTTTACATACACTTCAGGTCGCTTTGATTCAACTGGTGACATTTTATGTGCTTAAAAAACAATTACAGGGGCTGGGAATGTGGCTTCGTGGTAGGTAGAGGGCTTGCCTCGCATGCATGAAGCCCTGGGTTCGATTCCTCAGTACCACATAAACAGAAAAAGCCAGAAGTAACAATGTGGCTCATGTTTAGAGTGCTAGCCTTAGCAAAAGCAGCTCAGAAACTGTGTCCAGGCCCTAAGTTCAAGCCCCACCTGGCAAAAAAAGAAAAAAAAATTACATTTCACATGGGGTTAGAACTAGGAAGAGAATTATCACCATTATCTGTTATCAGTAGTACATACCCTACCATATCATCATTCATTCCTTATGGATTTATGTATCTCTGTATGGCTTGGTTATAGCTTGTCCCCAAATGCTTCATGTGTTAGAAGATTGGTCTTCAGTGTAATAGTATTGAGGTAGTAGAGACTCTGAGATTAGGCCTAGTTTGGGGACATTGGATTATAAGAGTTCCATGCTCAGGAGGTATTAATACCCATCTCCAGAAAATAATTTGGGTCTTGTTTCACTGGATTAGTTCTCTTGAGAGAGAGGTCTTATAAAACAGAGCCACCATGCTTGAGAGAGAGGTCTTATAAAACAGAGCCACCATGCTTGGCTTCTTCTGCATTGTTTTCCTTCTACTTTTCTGCCCTGGAGAAGAAGAAGGGGGAGATTCTTTATCAGAATCCAGCATCAAGCTGTTTGAAATTTCTAGCCACCCAGTTTGTATGTCAAGTTAACCTTTTTCCTTTGTAAAGCAGCCTCAGTTATTTTGGAATGGTAACACAATATACTAAGATAATCGCTAGCTAGGTTATTGGCCTAGACATACTGCTTTGTTTCTCACATACAAACTCTGTCTCAGTATTTTCCCCAGACCTCTGCTGTAAATTCACAATAGCATTTTCTTTAACTCAGAGTTAGCTGTTTCCCTGTCTGCTCTTTTACACATCACTTCTATGAATCTACACTCTATCCCAGATCCCCATAATCTAATTCCACCCACATTTTTGTCACCTACTCTAATACATTCAGAACAAACAATATGTAATTAAATACTGATTGCATGTTACAGACTTTAAGTAGAGATAGAAGAAAGACAATGAAAACTAGAGTTGCCAGGACATTTTTGGTGTTAAATGCTTTTAATGCTTTTTATAGTTGTTTTTTTTTTATGAGAAATGAAGAAGTTCAGTTTTAAAAGGAGTCCTTACTCCTGTGGCTTCAAGTGGACATGAAAGATGACTGTAATCTAAATAATCAGAGCAGAAAAGAAAGCAAGCAAAGCAAGAAAAACCTGAAGCAGGGTATTTTCACATGACCATTCTGATGTGGCCATTTTATATGCCTGCTAGGACTATTTGGTCAAAATGTAAGAACCACCATTTCCTTTTAAACTAACATGAGTATAAGCAGACATCCAATACCTGTAGCCATCCATAATGTTCACTTCAAATATGATAGATTTCCATTTCTTATTTTAGTTACTTTCATATTACCCAGCCCTTAAATTAGTGTATATTATTAAAGCCAGATTTTTTTTTCTCAGAAGTATAGGGTATAAGGCATGTGGGCTAGTTTACAGAAGGGAGATTGGAGAGACATATTTTATGAGAGATATATACATTGAAACTATTGAGGAAAATCTTTAGATAGCATATGATTACAGCAAATCTTGGTAGCCATGGAGAGATGCTTGCCCTTGATGGGGGCATCAGCAGGAAACTCCCTGGAGAACAGGCATGATGTGAAGTCATGGAACAGCAGTATGATGTGGTAGAAGGAGCACAGGCTTTGAAGTGTACCTGACCTGGTTTCCAATACCAGTTTTGCTGCTTGTTATGTGTGTGGCCTTGGGCAACTCACTACATTGTCTGAGTCTCAATTTTCTCATCTATAAAATGGGAATTAAAAACTCTTGTTAGAATAATAAAGTTTTGGCATGAAGTTCTTTGGAAAATAGTTGCTATTGTAATTTGGAAAATAATATTAAAGTAGAATTTAAATTACCCAGTAGGTTTAATAAAGGAGAGTTTTATATCAGGATGGACAGAAAAGAGACTCATGAGAAATCCAGACATGAAATTATTAAACAGCGAATAGTGGACTAATAGGAATAAAAGAAAGACCGACAAAAGCAACAAAGATCACAAATGAAAACTGAGAAGATGTGAAATATAGAGGATAAAGGGAAGTGGTACATGCAATTCTCTTAAGTTTTAAAAATTAAGAAAATAACCATTAGCAGGTTTGAGAATTTTTCTGGGGGCAGAAAAGTAGGAAGTAATCCATATTAGCATCACTACAAAATAATACATGTTGGAAAGCAGGAACCAGACAACATGGAAGTCAAAAAACAAGAACACAATGTCAGATGGCAAAATTTTATTGGAAATAGTTATGGTTACTAACATAAGTGATAGTAACATGAAATTTTACAATCTCATTTAATTTGTACATGAAGAAATTAATGTGCCTGTAACAAAAGTTTAATAAAGTGTATTTTTACCAAAACCTTCAAGGATCCTATGCAAAACAAAACTCAAGTTCTTTGAAACTATTTCCTTTTGCATTTTATCTTAGTTTTATTTTTATTTTTTTGTCCATTGCGGGACTTGAACTCAGGTCCTGGGAACTGTCCCTGGGCTCTTTTGCTCAAGGTTAGTGCTCTACCACTTTGAACCTCAGTTCTACTTCGAGTTTTTGAGTGGTTAATTTGAGATAAGAGTCTCATTTGAGGACTTTTCTGCCTGGGCTGGCTTCAAACCACAGTCTTCAAATCTCAGCCTCCTGAGTAGCTAGGATTACAGGTATGAGCCACCAGTGTGCAGCTGTATTTTGTCTGTTTGCCAGTACCAAGGATTGAATGTAGACCCAGCTTTTTGCTCATGGTTCTTTGACTCCTACTATTTTTGAGGGGCTTAGCCAATGTCATGGGAAAAGGATAATAATTAATGTGAATATGTTTAACTGTAGAAAACAAAACACAAACCACCAGGTGATTTCCAAGACCGCATGAGGGTTTCATTTATAATTTTGAACTATGTGGCATAATTATTACGGATAAATTTTTATTAAAAAAAAACAGGATTTGTATGCTATGTACATTAGTCAAGCTTTTATTGTTTTGACAGATATGTAAGAGAGATACGGAAGGAAAGATTTATTTAGGCTCATAGTTTCTAGGATTTCAGGCCATAATTTCTTGGTCATTTGGCCTTACTGCTGTTCCCAGATTAAAGCAGAACGTCAGGGCTGAGAGGACATAGTGGAGCAGAGCTTCTCACTTCAAGATGGCCTTACAGTGGAATGGGAGGAGAGAAGGAAGGAAGAGGTGGAGGGGGAAGAAAGGGAAGAGAAAGGCAAAAGGGTCAGGGACAATAGCTTTCAAAAGCATATCCCAGTTACATCCCTTTCCACCCAATGTTCCTAGTATCTCCCCAAATTGCAACATTAGAGACCTACCCTTCAATGCACAAGCCTGTGGGAATACATTTCATGTTCAAACACTAGTACTATGGTTATTGTTTTTTGTTTTTTGTCGGTCATGGGACTTGAACTCTGGGCCTGGGTGCTGTCCCTCAGTTCTTCAGCTCAAGCCTAGCACTCTACCACTTGAGCTACAGTGTCACTTACAGTTTTCTGGTGGTTTATTGGAAATAAGAGTCTTATGGGCTTTCCTGCCTGGGCTGGCTTTGAACCGTGATCCTCAGATCTAGCCTCCTGAGTAGTATGAGCCACTTGCTCATTAAAACTATGGTTTTAATGTGCCCCTGCAAAATTAACATATCAGAAACTTAATCTCCAAATGTATATGTTGATGGATCCTTGAAAGGTAAGTAGGATTAGATGAGGTCTTGTAGGTTTGGCCTTAGCAATGAAATCAGAAGAAGAGAAACTTGCACACTCTTACATACTTCCTTGCCATGAAATATCCTCATACAAGAAGGCCCTCACCAGATGCCAATCTCCTGCTTTCAGACTTCTCAGCCTCCAGAACTATCAAAATAAATTCTAATCTTTACAAATCACTTATCAGTTATTCTGTTATAGAAGCAGAAAGTTGTAAGAAAATAAAACAGAAGCATGTCCACTGCTGAGACTGTATTTAAATGTCTGGAATTATTTTTTTTAAGGATTTAGTAGGCATAGCTAGAGAAATTTGTACAAATTCCTTCATGTATACATATTGAGGAAATGTCATTAATTTGTGGATGGTAATGAAATTGTGCTTCTGTTTCTTTAAAGCTGAATGTGTTGACGATACAAAAAGACCCAGCAACAATAACAACAAACAGCAAAACCTTCAAACACTGGATATCTTTATTGGAGCAAAAAAGATACATATTGGAGTGACTCTTCTTGAATCCTTAACAAAGGTAGAACTTTTAGTTCTGACAAATTGGGTCGAATAAGAGTGTTATAAGTCATGGATAGTGGAAATTTAAAAATCGCAAGTATTTTATATATGTAGCAGATACTGCTAATGAGCATCCTTACTTGCTTTAATGTGATTGAATGAGTACTTCTGGTCAATGGAATATTATTAGAGAAGATGTGGTCCATTCATAGTTATTTTTGTTATTTTAATTCCTCATCTGTGTACTGAGGGATAAGACTCCCAAGAAAAGGGTGGATCCAAAGGGTGGATTGAGT